GCGGGGGGAACCCCCGCTCTCGGAAGATGTCCCGATTGCAACGGACCTGCGTGTGCACAAAGCCCCCAGCGCCATCACCAAGGAGCCGCCGCTGGCGGCATATGATTACCGCTCAGCACGCCTGGCGAACAGGGGAGCCAGGACTGATTGGGACGCTATTCCCCGGGTCCCTAAAGCCCTTAAAGGGGCAGCGCCTAGTCGCTCTGCGCCCCTCCTGACGCCCGTGCCGGACCTGCCTGCTCCGGACCTGTCGGCCACACCGCCTGCTGCTGCTGCTGCCGCGCTGCCAGCGGCACCGCCTGACCCGCCTGTCCTGCCTGACCCGCTTGTTCTGCCTGTAGTCCCTGCAGCTGCCACTGCTCTGCCTGCGGCACTGCCCGAGGTGGCCGCGGATGCGCCCCTTGCTGGCCACATAACTGAGGTACCTGCCAAGGCGCCCCCTGCTGGCCACGTGAGGGCGGTGCCCGCCAAGGCGCTCCCTGCTGGCCGCACGCCCGAAGCGCCTGCCGAGGCGTCCCCTGCTGGCCACGTGACGGCGGCGCTTGCCGAGGCGCCCCCTGCTGGCCACACACCCGCAGCCCTGCCTGAGGCCGCCTCTTCTGACCTGCACGTCCAGCCCTGCTCGTCTGTCCAGCCCATCTTGCCAGTCCAGTCCGTCCTGCCCTGCTCGTCCGTGGATGAGGCGGCACGACCTGCCGCCACCCCACCCACGTCCTCGCCGGCCACCTCCCATGGAGAAAAGACTCCTGACCCCCCAGCACTAGTCCCAGTCCCCGAGGAGGACCCGGACAACCAGCACTCAGCTCCTTTGTCCGGTGAGGAAGAGGAGCTGGAGTGGGATCCCTCGGGGACCTCCCTATGGACTCCCGCTCCCTTGCCCGGAGCCTGTGTCTGTTCCTCGTCCCTCTGTTCTTCTGTTCACTCCTGGCCCCTTCGTGTCGCCTGTGGGTGTTCCCTCTGTGTCTCCCTTCTCTGTCTGCCTGTCTGCCTTTCCTGTTCTTTGTCGGGTCCTGTCTTTCTTTTCTCCTTGTTCCTGTTTTGTGTCTCTGTCTTGTTCCCGGTCCCCCGTTGATGTTCTGCTTTTGTTTTTCAGTTCCTGCCCCTCGACTCGTCCGTCGCCTCCCCTCGCGCGCGCCCAGTGTGCGCGCCACGCCCCCTCATTACCTCGTGTCAATTCCTGGTTGTGGTCACCTGTGTCCTGTTATTTCTGTATAGTGTCATGTACTGTTGGTGTAGTGTCCGTAGATGTCCGTGCCTGTCCATCTTTCCCTTAATAAACCCCGTTTACTCGTCCATCTGCCTGCTCTCGCTTGCCCCGCACCCTGACAGAATGATTATCATAACCGTTTTTTTCTTCTTCATGTCTCAGTGTAACCGAAACGTGTATATTTCTTACATGAATAATAGGTAATAAAACGGACAGCGTCACTAATTTTGATTGCAAAATACAGTACAACCGTTTCAAACAGTTTTCAGATTACAGTACTGTACAAATTAAATTACTTAACTGTGTATAATTAAAATACGCTATATAATACAGTATAATACTGTACCTAAATATTCAATTTTATTTATACAGCGTATTTTCACAACATTGTCTGAAAGCGTTTGCTGCAGCATCTCCGTGGCTCGTTTTATGGCAGTTTATCATAAGCTTTGATGAGTCTATATAACACAAATCTGAATATTAAACAGCTTTAAATAGAACATACTTTTACACTATGATGCTTGTCGTGCTTCATCATGGATCTGAAGCAGCAACCACTCCTGTTCCCGTGTTTCTATTTGACACTAAGAATAGCAAACTCAGATTAATGCAATGTGTACTCAAGCACATATAGAACATACTAAGTTAAACATTCTCCGCTATTTTTGACTGGGGATGTTCATAGTTACTTCATTGCCACAAGCATACACTATCACTGTCCGGGAATAACGATTATAAGCGTAAGCTATAGCTAACGCCAGCCACAGAGTTGAACGAAAAAGACTCCCCTTCGTATCCGTGGATGTAAGACAAGGCAAACATCTTAAAGCCCTTCTCTAATTTACTCGTTGGTACTTTGGAGAAGGATTTACAAAAGCGATGTACGTCGTTGATCATAAGTTTGGGCAAGTCCTGTAAACGGCATGTATAAACCAATGCCATTTTTCACAGACCGGAAATGAGCGAGTCGTATTTCCATGAACGCGGAAGCTGACGTGCAAAGAGCCCACTGACATGAGAGTTCACGCCTCATTACTAGTGATGTGTCGTTCGCGAACGATGGGAGCCGGCTCCTGTTCAAGAGCCGTTTTATTAATGTTTATAGAATTGTCCGGGTTTTTGAGCTGCCTAAACATGAAGGATGACAGTGGCTGGAACACGTTGTCTTCCGAAAAAGCCCACCCATGAGACGGAGTCTTATTTTTAACAAGCTCAAATCAGGTCACGCTAATCGGCATCAGGTTAAACAAAGAGAGGGGCGGGTTTTTTAAAAAGAGCCGTTTAGGAGCCGAAAGAGCCGGCTCTTCTTGGTGAGCTGACCCAAATGAGACGGTTTTCCAAAAAGAGCCGATATTCCCATTTGGTAGAGAGAGACACGAGGAAAACAAACAAGCATGCAAATGAATATTATCACAGCCGAAAAATTATCGACCTCATTTTAATTATCGTGCAATTAATTGATTTATCGTTTATCGCGACAGGCCTAGTTTCTTGTATAACTTGCATGCACTGTGTCAAATAAGTATGCCAACGAGACGGCAGCAGGCGAAGAGCACACTGGCGAGACGTGAGAAGCACTCCAGTGCGCTGAGCAGTGAAGTGCTGTGGGACTGCTGCAGGCAGAGCGGCTTCTTGCAGTGTGCAAAGCGGCCAGTACTGGCCTGGCACTGGTGTCTGGCCTCTCTCCTCCAGCCCCAGTAGAGATTCTCCTTGAAGTAGAGAAAGGCACATAGGCTGGGGTCCTCACCTCTGGAGTGTGCTGGAACCAGTCCCCCATTAGGAGTGTTACAGAGGGCCAGCAGTGACCTCTGCTGGCCCAATCAGGAGGAGACAGGACAGATCATGACAATAATGTACATTAACCTCAGCATGTTGTTGGACTACAGTAGGAAATGGGAAACCAGATTACCTGGAGGAAACCTCATGATGCAAACTCCCCACAAATGGAGCCACTGCGGGAATTCAAACCCTGGACCCAGAGGTGTGAGGCGAGAGTGCTAACCACTGCACCATCGTGTCACCCCAGCCACATCTCCATTACAGAAGATGCATGGATGGATATGCAATCTGGATTAGAGTCTTTACTTAATCACATTGAATCAATTGCTTCTGCAGTGCATGATGCAGCATTTTCATATATTGCTAGTGTTTTCAGTATGAGAGTTATGTGCAAAATAAAATGATGAAACAAATCATTCACTTATTATTATCATTAATAGTATTATTATTATTACAGCATTTCAGTCCTCATTTGCAAAAGAAACTTGTGATATCATTACATTTTGTCAGCCATTTCACTTAATAATACAAATTATTACAAACAGTCACAAGTATATTAAAGTTCCATAACATTACAATGATACCTGGACTTTTTAAAATGAAATATTAGTGTAATTGTCCTGCAAGAGGAAAAAAAATATATAAACACAAAAATTAATGGTAACAGCTACATCTCTAAAGATAATATTAGAGGCTTTGTAACACAGCTGAGGGCATGAGGTCAAAGTCAGGTGATCAAGTGATCATAGAACATCCAAGATGAGGATATATAAAGACCAGAACTGTTTCATAGATCATTTGTCTGTTTGGACAGAAAGGAGTAGTGAACTACGAGAATCATTCAGGTAACATTTATGTTCTCTTGGATGTTAAAAATGAATGAGTGAATTTCAATAATGAGAAGTATAACTAATGTTTATTTCAAATACTGTTTTTTCCTAGCAGTGGACGCTGCAGCAGTGGACATTTACCTGCCTTGGGGAACATTTATTTATCTTAAACAAAAATACATAACAGTGTTGACAAGTAAACAATCATACAATGAAATATTAATACTAATTTGGGTCATGTAATCTTCATATTTCTGACTTAACATTTTATTTGTCAGTTAATTCTTTGTTTTAATAATAAAAATTCAGTCTACATATCAGAAAGATTTGACATTTTTGCCATTCTGTAGAGAGCTTCAGTGCAATGTTTAACCAGTGGGGACTGGAGTTCAGTTTGAGGCTGGAGGTTTAACGTCAGATGCGAGACCCTTTATAGATAACAAAAGAAAACACAAGGAATAGCTCAAAAACAAGGCAGAGTTTTTTACTTTGAAAATACTGAATTCCAGTAGGAGGAAAAGCTATAAATTTTACATTGTGCATGTATGATTGAGTGTAGTTTTTTGTCAGATTTTGTCATTTTCAGTATATTTAGCATTGTTTAGCTTTGAGAATGATGTTGATTTTAGCATAATTTTGTATTCAGTTATGAGTCATTTTCATCATTATTATACATTGAGTATTGGTGTTGTAATAAGTACTGGTGTTATAGTCAGTACCAGGCCTGGACTGGCCATCTGACATACCGGGCATTTTCCTGGTGCCCCCCCCCCCCCATGCGGCAAAATGTATCAGTATTGTGATGCATTGACAATCTGTGTTTTAGTCATTACTGGTGTTGTATTCAGTAACAGTGACACTGAATGTCAATATCTTAGTGCTGAACATATTTTACCATGATGACTAGTTTTAAGAGATTTTAAAATAAGAACATAAAAACTGACTCAGTAACCAGTTATGTTGGGCATAATTTTCCATGCTTTGTTTTTTTTTTCTTTTTTTTTTTTATCGTTTAAGAAACTATATCACACATCAGATTGGCAAATCAAGATTATTACAATGAAATGACATAGTTTCATCTATTTCAAAAATAGGAATGTTATCTATACCAGCAAGTTTAAGAAGGTAAACATGTTTTACTTTTCCAGATCAAAGAAGACTGAAAACAACAAGCCTGAGAAAACATGGGCGACACATTAAACCAAAATGCCACTACAAACTCTGTCGTGCGTCCTCAGTATTTTTTCATCACTGGGTTTTCCAACATACCTCACGCCCAGTACTACTTCATGTTCTTGTGTTTTGCTTATATCGTTACTGTCTTGGGGAATTCTTTTGTCATGTTTATTATATACATAGATCGTAGTCTTCATACTCCAAAATATATGGCTGTTTTCACTTTAGCTATAGCTGACTTGGGTGAGAGTACTGCTGTTTTTCCTAATGTGATTAAAGTCTCTCTGCTAAATATACAGCAAGTGACATATGAGGCCTGCTTGTCAAACATGTTTTTTATATATTTTTTTAGTTCAGTGCAGTCTCTCACACTTACTGTTCTAGCATATGACAGATTTATTGCAATTTGCTTCCCACTGAGGTACCACAGCATTGTCACAAACACATCAATGGGCATTATTCTCACTGTGGGATGCATATTTAATGTTGTGTTTGTAGTGGTTGGAGTATCATTGGTAACTAGGCTATCGTTCTGTAAATATATAGTGGTCGACAGCTACTTCTGTGACCATGGGCCCCTATACAAACTGGCCTGCAATGATAATATGCCAAGTTATATCGTAGTAATGTTATTCACAGTGTTACATTATTTTTTACCATTGATTCTGATTGGTTTATCTTACGCATGTATTTTGTTGGCACTGTTTAAAATTACATCATGGGAAGGACGTCTGAAAGCCTTAAAGACCTGTTTTTCCCACCTAATATTAGTGTCAGCATATTATTTTCCAATATTGGGCATTTACATAGGTGCAATGGCCGGCTCTGTCCACCGTAATGCAAGAATAATCAGTATATCACTCTCATATGGTGTTCCTGCTATGTTAAACCCCATTGTGTATTCTCTGAATACTGCCGAGATCAAGGACTTTGTAAAAAGAATGTTCAGAATAAACAAACATGGGAGTACAATAGTAACTACGGCAAATGATTAGGCTAGACTGAGAGACATTATCAAGAAATTAATACAGGTTTATCTTCAGTGACTGTGTTAGCTTAGATTATTTGATCTTGTTATAGCTCCAGTAAGAAATGCTTTTTAAAAAGAAATGTATAAACAAGAAGAAAAATAAATTGTGTAACTTGGATTATGTTATAGAAAAATAAAAATGGTTTCAGAATAACATAAGTTTGACATTCTTGTGGGTTCTTTAAACAATACTGCTAATATATATGCTTGTATATTTTGAAAAATGCGATTAAATTATAAAATGTATATTTAAAAAAAAATATTTAATTCACCCATCCATACATGTTACTTGCCATTTAGAGTATTTGGAGGAAACTAGTGTGAACACAGAGGGAATATGAAAACTATAAGTCACAGAGTCAGGGTAGTAACTTACAGTGCTAACCACAGTGACAATGCACTGCCTTATTTATTTGGTATAATGTCTATACATTTAGAAAACCTGTAAAAGTAAATCTGTCAGTATGACAACTTTATCACTTGTAAACTCAACCTACAGAACTAAATTTCCGGAATACAAAGTCATCATTGTTACGTTCGGCGGACGGGCGAATGAAGGAGTAGGTGAGAGAGCCGTGATTTCAGGAATGCGGGTTTTATTCTGGGTAGACAGACCACGAACATGAAACAATACAATGACGGATCTAGGGAAACTAACTCAGATGCGGACTAAATACACAGGACAAGTTGAACGTAACATTTAACAGGTGATTACAATCGGGAATTAACATGAGGTAATGAGGGGGCGTGGCACACATGAGGATCGTACGGAGCCGGGCGTGACAATTATAAATAAAATTAATTTATTTGACTTCCTAAGGGCTGTTCGGTCCCTGTACAACCGGTGTCAGAGCTTGGTCCACATTGCCGGCAGTAAGTCGGACTCGTTCCCGGTGAGGGTTGGACTCAGCCAGGGCTGCCCTTTATCACCGATTCTGTTCATAACCTTTATGGACAGAATTTCTAGGCGCAGCCAGGGCGTTGAGGCTGTCTGGTTTGGTGACTTTAGGATTAGGTCTCTGCTTTTTGCAGGTGATGGGGTTCTGTTGGCCTCATCAGACCTTGACCTTCAGCTCTCACTGGAGCATTTAACAGCCGAGTGTGAAGCGGCTAGAATGAAAATCAGCACCTCCAAATCTGAGACCATGGTCCTCAGCCGGAAAAGGGTGGAGTGCTTTCTTCGGGTCGGGGAGGAGGTCCTTCCCCAAGTGGAGGAGTTTAAGTATCTCGGGGTCTTGTTCACAAGTGAGGAAAGGATGGAGCGGGAGATCGGCAGGCGGATCGGTGCGGCATCAGCAGTGATGCGGGCGCTGCATCGGTCTGTCGTGGTGAAGAAAGAGCTGAGCCAAAAGGCAAAGCTCTCGATTTACCAATCGATCTACGTTCCTACCCTCACCTATGGTCACGAGCTGTGGGTAGTGACCGAAAGAACGAGATCGCGAGTGCAAGCGGCCAAAATGAGTTTTCTCCGCAGAGTGGCTGGGCTCTCCCTTAGAGATAAGGTGAGGAGCTCGGCCATTCGGGAGAGACTCAGAGTAGAGCCGCTGCTCCTCTGCATTGAGAGGAGCCAGATGAGGTGGCTCTGCTTAGGATGCCTCCTGGACGCCTCCCTGGTGAGGTGTTCCGGGCATGTCCCACTGGGAGGAGTCCCCGGGGAAGACCCAGGACACGCTGGAGGGACTATGTCTCTCGGCTGGCCTGGGAACGCCTCGGGATTCCCCCAGAGAAGCTGGAGGAAGTGGGGAGAGGGAAGTCTGGGTTTCCCTGCTGAGACTGCTGCCCCTGCGACCCGACCTCGGATAAGCGGAAGTTAATGGATGGATGGATGGATGGACTTCCTATTAAATTAATTCCTGCTGTCAAGATTGTCTCAGAATAATATCTTAGCATTTGACGGCAGTTTCATTGTAAATATAACAAATGTTTATTGCTTTATTAAATAACATTTCTGCATCATCAATATTGCTGTTTTAGCATTAGCAGGAAAAATATTGATATTATTACTTTATCCATGTAGCTGTGTCACATGCTGATTATATTAAATTATCCTTAACAATTTACCCTGTTCAGGGTTGCAGGAGGGCCTGAAACCTATATCATGCAGCACAGACTACAAGGCTGACTTACAGTCTGTGTGGGATGCCACACACACACATACAGAGAGAGAGAGAGAGAGAGACCTGTAAGGGACTAAGGGACTAAGGGTCTGCATGGCAGTGAAGAACCCCTTGGTAGCAGATGGTAGCACACGTGGTCACATTGCCTCCTCACTGGCCAGGGACATTCACAATAGCCAGGTGGCCAATGATGTTTCACCCCCTTCTCCTCTGTTTGGTGACATTAAATCATGCTTCATCAACAAAGATGAATTAATGAGGCGTGTTTCTGACATCAGTTTCAAATATTCTCTACTAAAGTAAAACACAGTACAGTACATAATGACTACTCTGAAATGCAATCATCATATAATCTGTACTACAGTATATAATGCTGTAATACACAACTGTACTGAAATATGTGAAACAGTATGAAAAACCATACTTGCACATATTCTATGTACTGGTCTTTGACTCTGTCAAAAGTTATTTTTGAAAGGAACATAATAGACCTGTTTCATCCTCAACCTGTTCCATCGAAGAATGCGGTCATTTGTTGAGATACTGACAATATTGATGCCTTGGAATATTCCCTGATCTTAAATAACTTTCCTTTGTGTCTTCTGCAAGTGAATGATATTGTTGGCTATGGTTCTATTAATCATTTCCATCTCTTGCTCTTCTGAAAACAGCCATTTTCTGCCTCCATTAGGTGATCATCTTTCAGTTGTGCAAAAATAGAAGCACTGGTGGAACTCTAAGTTAACCATTTTTTCAAATAGGAAGATACAGAAACTGCAAAATAACTGTATGTGATATAGTACAGTAATACACTGTATTTCAGACAGCAAACAGCCGCAGTACATGTTATGTGATGAAATGGCAAAATGTATTCTACTCCAAATTTACAGTAGTGAGCAGTGTGTAAATTACCTACCTTACCCATTTTCTTTGCTCAGCTTACCTCACTGATATCCCATGGACAAGGACATGGTCAACTGAGTACAAATCTCAGAAACTATTTGTCTCCTTGCTTTTGATCTTCCTCTTCCTTCACCTTCATGTCTTTGTGATCCATTGCTCCAAAACAAGTGAAGTGTCCCATGGCCCTTTTTTCTCTCTGATTGGTGTGTGAACAATTTTCACTCTTAACGTTTCCACCCCGGGGAATGTGTGTGACAAATCTTGAATCATGGGTGAAACTGGAGGAATTGGGAAATGGGTCTTTTTCATACAGTAGATGCCATCATAGTTTTGGATGTTCAGTTAATAGGCCCAGTTATAGTGTGTAAGCGATCAAGAAAATAAGTAAATATTGAACCCTGTCTGATCCTTGTATACTCAGCAAAAAAAGAAACGTCCCTTTTTCAGGACTGTGTATTTCAACAATAATGTTGTAAAAATCCAAATAACTTTACCTTGACCTTAAATGCCTACTTTCTGTAAGCTGTTAAGGTCTTGACCATTCCACAGGTGCATGTTCATTAATTGATTATGGTTAATTGAACATGCATGGA